ATTTAAATATCGGCCTTTCTTAAGATAATTTTATATAATTATTTATATCTTATATATATCGTTCTATGATATTAGGCTGATATTTTTATGATTATATAAACTATTAACTAATTTCTTAACCGATTTATTAATGTTCTTTTTTTTGCATATCTTCTGCATATCGGCTTTCTATAATAAAAAATTTTGACCTATGTAAGAGTATCTGCAGACAAAAGGAAAAAAGAATGGGTAATGTTTGAGAAGGAAAAAAAACTAGAATATAGAAGAGTTACAAAAAAGAATCTAAGTACATTATAGTTAAGTTAGTGTTCCAAGTTAGTAAAAATTTTTCCAATCGATTAGTTGCCAACTATAGTTATAACTAATTGATTTTTCTATTATATGACTAAATTTGTTGATTGGCTAATCTAACTAAAGAAATCAACACGAACTAGCTTGAATAGACAGAATATCTCAGAATTTAACTAGTTGATAATTTAATCGATTAGTTATTTTAAAATTTTCTAAATCAATTAGTTGAAAAGTTGTCAACTAGTTGGTTTTTCAACTAATGATTTGGATCACTAAGTTAAGTACTGGAAAATAGAAGAAAATGATAACTCAGAAACTTCCATATCAATAATTATGTGCAGAAGCTGCAAGTTAGAGAAACAAAATAATATGAGCTGTTTGATCAGACTTAAGTACGCAGATTGGCACTAGGTACTTAATAGGATTCATAGAGATAATAAGCTCGCTTCTACTATCATACTAACTATGTTATATAAAGACAATAGAGAAGTAGTTAATACTGAAGTAATAGATCATAGCAAAGACATAGAAGTTAGTATTATGAAAATAGAAGAAACAGTTATATATAGAGTAATTAGAAATAATAATTTACAAAATAAGCTTAGTAGAATAGCAAGATTACTCAAAGAAAAGGAGAAGCTAGATATATATACAGATGGCTTACTAGTAGTAGAAAACTTAGAAGAGAGAGAAATTAAAAAGATGGGCATCAGTTAGGTCGTAGCAGATAATAGTAGGATGGAATCTAATATTAGCTTTAGTAGTAGTATAGTAGAATAGTTTTTGTCTATACGTGCAGAACTAGGTACGATCTGAACAACACTTTTAGTAGTACCTTTTGAAGCAACTACTAGGATATTCTCAGATAGCAAGGTAGCAATCAAAGGAATCCAGAACTTTAAAGGCCTTTTAAAGCTAAAAAGCAATTTTAAAGCAAAAAATTATAGTATAATCAATCAAATTGCAAACTGCTATAAAACAAAGGAAATTAAACTAGATCTGATTAAAGTAAAAGGTCACAGTTCAAATATTTGGAATGATAGAGCAGATCAGTTAGCTAAAGAAGGCCTCTCTTCAGACTTAATTCTCGAAGCCCAAGAAGTAACAACAAGTAAAATTAGATTTTTCCCATTATGGAAAAACAAAATTATAGATAATGCACTTAGATCTTTCATTAATATAACTACAGCAACATTTTATGAATGCGCATGAGCTGACTTAAATAGTATCAAATCAGTATTAAACTAGAGGCTATTAGACTAATGCAATGATAAGCTAAACTGGAAAAATACGTGAAGTATTTTGAAAAACTTACAAGGGAAAAAATGTATGAGCATAAAGAAGAGCAAAATGCTAATATTTAGGCTAAAATGTCTAAATAAGCTTTTGCCAACAAAAGATGTATGCTACCAAAGAGACCCTATGCTCTACAAAACCAAGACTTATATTGCATGTTATACAAAAGTAAAATCCTTCTAGCACTTAGCAGATTGTGTAGTCTACTAACCAATATAGAAGAATATAGAAGCAGTTATTATTGATGAGCTGAACTCCTTACTTACCTCCAAATTAGAAGTCGAACTCGAAGCTCTGAAATTAAGCGAAATCTTCCTAGGTTTAAGTACAGAAATCAAGCTAGAAAAAAGAAAACTTTATATATAGAGGCTATTATATTCAAGCCTGTTAGCAAAAGCTAAAGCTCTTTTAGGATCAGCATCTAAAACAAACAAAGCTATTTGCTAGTTCACTGAAATTTTCTAGTCAAACTTTTTTGAAAGACTTTAGAAATTTCATTGCAAAGTTTTCCTAGAGTGAGAAAAAAGAAACAATATAGATTCTAAAAAAAAGAGAAAGAAACAAAATTATAAAGACTAATTTGAGCAGAAGAGGTATCAAGCAGGAAAGAAAAACTAAAATCCTGCAGAAAAGGAGGCTATTGAATCACCTAATACTAAAGAGAAAAGGATTTAAAAAGAAGCCGAAAACAGAATTGATAAGTAGATCATAGAGGGTACAAAAGAAAATTAGTTAAGTTTCAAAAATAATTAAATAGGTATTCTTGATATAGGCGTATAGTAGCCTTCTGGAGATCCTTAGAATATGACCCTGCTTAGGCATTCTATTCTTCAGGGAGAAAAATTTACTATTGCAGCAGATCGCATCTGGGCACTTTAGGCAGCCAAGTAAGTCCTAAATTATATAAAGAGGATATTTTTATAGTTAAATTAGTTTAGCTTATATTTTTGTTATAACATTTTATATGTTTTCTCTTAATAAATAATGGGCAAGATCACCTAAGTAATAAAAAAAAAAAAAAATTATAAAAGAGATAACAATTAAAGATATATAAAGATATCAATAAATATTTATTTCAAAGTATCAAAAAGTTACTTTTATTGTGAAAGGTGTGAAGACTTGATAATGAAATCAAGGTTCACATATGCTATTTTTATACTTTACAAAAAATTAGAAATGTAACAGGCTATATATATTACAAGAGCTATATATGCTACAACTATTACTAATAAAATATATAATAGTCACACAATTTGTGACATGATTATCAAAGGAAGTGATTTTTAATATAGAATTTAAAATGATCTACAACATATGATAAAATTCTATTTTCATATAAAACTGATAAAATTGCTTACTTTGCAGTTGACTTTCATATAACTAAAGGTACTTTCAGACAAATATCAAGTTAATATTATACAAACATATATAAAAACTATCTAATAAACATTTTTTAATATTGCTTATAGTACTAAAAATAAAGAATCTCATTCGTAAAGATAGATAAAAAACTGATTTTTCGATCTAATATAGTTTAACTATTAAGTTCTGATTTGACTAATATCACTAATATTAGAAATATAAACAAGTATCAATTTATAAAAAGAATTTGGATCATATAATGCTTTTAACAAATCAAAGTCTTGCTAAAAGCTATTACCATACTACACTGATTAAAAGATTACCTTTTTCTATGTAAAAAACCCAGGTACAATATATAGTATAAAATTATATAATTCTGTAAAATTTAAAAATTTTGGCCTAGTAAAGATCAAAATACCCTTAGGTCTTTTAATCAGTGTAGTACAGTAAACCTAGCTTGATTAATGAATATATGAATAAAATAAAGTTAAGATAAAATAAATTCTGAATAAAGTGAACGATAAATTTATGAATTTTGTATAATTTTAACAGAAAGTGCGATAAGTTTTTTAAAAATACTAATTTTAAATTTTTTTGAACTATCTCTATATATATGACTAATTAGATTGCTATTTATTAAGAATACCAAAAACAAATTTATTTACTATTGTTTTTTTATTTATTCTTGCTAATGCTTATTTTTTTCAGATCAAAGATTAGTAGAATTTTCTAATTATCTACGAACATTTCATCACAATTCTTCTTACACCTGAATCTAGACATCTACTCATAATATTAGTATTGACAATTTGGTTTCTAGTGAGAATTTCTAGTCTTCCAGTAGGATTTGTAATAATAAAGGCTTTAATAACACTATTAATTTACTTCTAATAGTTTTCCAGTGCCAACACTGCGTAATTTAATAGAATTCTGACTCAATGCTATAGTTCAAATTAATTTATATGCTTTTATTAACCTTTTTATTTTTTTATCTTCATTATTTTGTAATAATAATATTTATCTATTTATTTTTTATTATATATTAGGCAAACATAATAATAGATGAATCGTTGAATAGTAAAGTGATTTATGATTAAAATATTTAATAATTAGTATTGTCAATAATTGAGATTGTTAATTAATAATGTGCGATATGATTAACAATTAACTAATTGAACAATTAGGTAGATGATTGAACAATTGGGTAATCAAATGATTGAGCTATTGGGTAATTGAATAATTGAGTAACCAAATGATTGAGTTATTAGGTAGTTGAGTGATTGAGCAATTGGGTGATTAGATAATTAAACAATTAGGTAATTGAGCGATTAGGTGATTGAGCAATTAGATAATTGAGCGATTGGATGTTTAAGTAATGAAAATATCATGTAATAAGATACATATGTACAAATAATATAAAAATATCATTTTTTTTTTCATAAATAAAAAATAAATAAAATATGAATTAAATGTAATAATTAAAAAAAAATTATAAATAGAACATTTTTTTTTTTTTTTACAAAAAATTTTTTGATTTATTTAATAATAAATATTATAGTATTTAAATTTAATAATTAACTCACAAAAATCTTAAACTTTAACCCAGTATTACAAATTTTAATAATAAACCCTTGTATCATTTATTATTCATGCTATAATCAAATATACAATTATAGAAAACATTATTTATAATAATAGTTACTTTGATCTGTACTCTAGCAATTCTGATGATGAATCTATAGATAAAATAGAAAACTTTCCTATTCTTAATTTTGATAATAATATATATTAATATGTTAAGAACAAAACATTGCAGACAAATAATTGTAACGAAAATAAAGATTACGATCTTAATAATGAACTAGAAGAAAATATATTTGAGTTTGATGAAGTAGTTAATAAAATTCTACCAAATAAACTTATAGAAAATGATAAATACATATCTTATATTATCATAGATAATGATAACGATGAAAATAAAATAAAGCGATACAACAGAATTAATGCTGGAGGTCTTAACTACCCTCTTGCTCAACTCAAAGGTATCTAGAAAGTTGATTATGAGCTATTAAACAATGGAATAGAAGGTTAGATAAACTTGGCATATGTTAACAATATTTTCTCTTTGATCAAAATCAATTGCATTATAAAAATATTCAAGTACTAGGAACAGATCAAAGTAATTTCTATCATACACAGTATATGTTTTGTAATAAATATAAAAGCTTTTTTATATATAGTCAGAGTTATTCCAAGTATTCATAGATAGTATGTGAATGTAATATTAGAGTTGCATGTTTAGGATTATGAACATGTGAAGCATTACAGTAGTATTTTTTAATTTCTATATTATCAACAAATAATACATGACTCTTATATATTTGTTCAGAATGTTTTGAAGCTAACAGTAGCTATTTACATCAAAGATTAGATAAAGGGTTTAAAGAGTTTAATTGTGATAATAAACATGATGATTTAACTGCAATTTTAAAAAAATATAGAAATTGGATTCAATCAGTAGCAAAGTTGAATAATAAATTACAAAAACAGCAACTTATCTGGTCATTATTGCTAGCAATTGAGTTAATAAAACTGTATTTGCTAAAAGATTTGATTCATAATCAGATAGATTCATTTAATAAACCAGTTCTACCAACTTTCTTAATAATTCAAATAGTATTTAAATTAGCAAAAATAGATTTGAGTATTAAAGCAAATGCAGCAATTTTAAAAGAGAAAGAATGTGTATACTTTGGAAGTCTTCTTGGAGAATCTTTATGGCAATCTCATATATTGCTTAAAGACAATTTACCAATCTTAGAAAATCTACATTCACTTGAACAATATGCTTCAGTATTGCCCCGAACTCTGTGGTCTTTTTTTAGTAACCTTATTATAGTTTTTTTTAAAAAGAAACATAAAATTGCAGAACAGAAAAAAATTATGTGGATCACTATCAATTCCACTAGACTTAACATTAATTAACAAAATCATAATTTTTTTAGTATCAATTATAGTAGGAATTGCCTTTCACAGATAGAAAATTTGGTTATCTCACATCTTAAGTTCACTTTGTAGATGTCTACATATAATTTCAAAACTTCATAAAATTCTTCACTCTGCATATATAATTTCTTATGTATGAGATTATGAAGTTCGCACAAAAAGATAGCGTATAGAATATTCTAATCCTGCAAACCAACTTGAAGCTAAAAATAATATTTATAATCTGTTAGTTATTGATAATATTGATATAAAAGAAAAAACATTTGCATATGAAAATATTTATGATGCTGTACAAAATACTGCATATGCTACTTTGTGAATTACATTTCAATTTAAGCTTCCTTCAAATTTGCAAGCCACTTTAATTTTTTTTTCTAAACAATCTGATCAAGCTACGATTAGATTATTAACAGTTACGAAAAATTTAAACAAAATTTATAATCAAATTTTTGAAGAGTTATTTTTAGAAAAAACAAATAAATTTAATATTAATGATATTCACCTAAAAGTTATTGAAAATATTCAAATTAGATGCAAATTTGATAAGCTAAAGATAGTAATTCTAAATCCTGGACTAGTGCTAAATTTTAATAAAAATGCATACGAAGCATGTGATATGTTTTTAAATAATGTAGCAAATACAGAAACTACTATAGTTGACATTACATGTGATGAAGCTATTTTTCAAAGACTTAAAAACTATGAAAATGATAATCTTAATGTTAATATTATTCTTGGACAGTGGCATACTTCAAAAGATATATGCTAAGCTTTAATTATGGCTTTTTCTAGATATGGAATTTTCAACATAGTGACACTACTTAGTGTTCGATATTTAGAAAATTTAGAAAAAGGGTCAGATTATCATGCGACTTATATAGTTCTTGAATTAATCTGAGTAGCAGTTAGAATTGCAATTCACCATCATCTACAAAATACAAAAGAAACTATTGATAATATTAAAAATAGTTCTAATAATATTTTAAAAGTTTGGTTAAATTTATATCAGTAGGCTAGTTATTTGAAAGTATATAAAATTAGCATTTGAAGAGGAGATTTTGATTTGCAAATTGCATGTCTTGCTGTATTTGTACCACTTTTCCTAGTTACTGGCAAGTTTAGATATGCGGAATTAGTTACTATTTTTCTAAGAAGATTGCATAAAAATACTCAGCTTCAAGAAAGACTAATTCGAATACCATCTATAAATATTACATATGAAGGATATTATCTAGCATATGATGAAGTATTAAAAACATATAGTGTTAAGTCTGTTAAACAAGCAATAACAGGAAAATCTGGAGATGAAAAAAATTTATATCAACAAATAAAAGAAAGTCAGGATAAAATTGATCAATTATCTGTTCTTGATAAATTCATTAACAATGTAATAAATATCAACATTGATGACTGTGTTGCACCAGATCAATGTAAGCAATTATGGGTTTTAAACGATCAAATATATAGTGCATTTCAAAATCTAGATCCAAAAAATTATTCTCTTTTTGAATACATAACGCAAAATACTTTAAAAGAATACACTAAAATAGAAACTTGTTATTAACGTAGAATAGAACGTATAGAAGATCTACTTGCACAAGAAGTTTATTTAACTAAAAAAAAAGAATTCAAAAGGAAAAGCAGTTAAAAATTTAGATAAAGATACTGTAGCAGCTTTAAAACAACGAAAAAAGAAAGAAAAAAACGAA